TCTCTCTCTCTCTCTCTCTCTCTCTCTCTCTCTCTCTCCTTTCTCTCTCTCCTTTCTCTCTCTCCTTTCTCTCTCTCTGTCACACACACACACACACACACACACACACACACGCACACACGTGCGCGATCACACTCACCCAGGCCAAGATGCTGTGGCTGGCTGTGCAATCCGCCCCCAGCCTCCTTCGCTCCCCGACTCCCTCAGCCTCTGTCCTCAGAGCACATTTCCAACACTTAAATCATTTAGCCCGCTAAACCGGAGACGGCAAAATGGGTGCTATTTCTTAAAAACATACAGAGAGCGTATTAAATTATTGATAGCCATTAAACAGGGGGAAAAAATTAAACAGCTCTCAGCTCTTATCAATCATTCATGCAGTTTCCACTGGGGTGTTTTCTGGGGCCAGCTCCTGCCAGCAAGGAAGGCAAAGGCATGTGGCAGACTGGCTGGCTGAAGGTGGGGAGGGGCCGCTCCTGCCCCCACGAAGACCCTTTTCCAGGGGCAAGGCGGAGTAGGAGGTCAGCTCTCCACTGCGAGCTCCGCCTCCCCTCTTTGCCACATCCTTAACCAAGGGAGACACTTCAAGGCTACCTTCAGGAACCCCCTTAATTAAATCCAGCCTGCTTTTATTAGGCACCTACTATACATCAGCCTGCAGGAGGCACAGATAATGGAGCCCGCAGGTCTCCTCCCAGGCAGGCAGAGGGGGGCCCTTTGCAGGAAAGAGTGAGGATGCGTTAGAGCCATTAGAGAGGTCCACAGAGAGGTGGCTCAGGAAAAGGGGTCCGCCTGGGCCAGAGGAGAGCTGCCAAGCATGACCGGCGAAGAAGTGATTCCTGGGTGAATTCGTGGATGGGGGCCAGAAAACTACCCAGAGAGCAGGGCGGGGGCTAGTGCCCCTCCGGTCACAGCCCTGCCCATCCTGGACAGCAGCTCCTGGCAAGCAGGGAGGGAGACCTAGGTAGAGCCAGTGGAGAGCAATGCAGCCCGTGACCTGCAGCAACAATCAGATCCAGGCCAGGCCAAGGGAGGGACACACGAGGCCAGCACCCCGAGCTGTGGACTGCCTGGGGCAGCAGCACCTCCACCTCCACATGGCAGATCCATTTCCTGGCTCTGACTCAAGACACCTAAGCCAGTGTGACGCAGGCCCCAGGGGCTGCAGGGACAAGGCTCCACCCCTCTGTGCACAGACAAGCCTGGCCGAGCCACCTCGGGAGCCAGGCTCCCTCCTGCCGCCGACCGTGCCAAGGACCGAGGCACCAGGGCTGTGGGAGCCGGCCGACACCTGATACCCCCCGCCTTGACGCTCGGGGACTGTCCACACTCAGAGGCCATCTGAGGCTCTGAGGCCATGGCCAGAGTGAGAACAAAGAGGCCAGGCACTGCTACCTTCTCCCTGCCCGGCACAGCGCACCTCGGGCTCTGCATTCTTGAATGCCTTTCAGGGGCTCTCACTTGCTGGAGCCAGAGGAGGAGAGGCCCTGCCAAGTGTGGATTGCAACCTCGCCAGAGGAAGCTGCTGTCACAGGGAAACATTCTGGAGAGAGCGGCTGTTTCCCACCACCGCTCGGGACG